AATATGATTTAGGGAAACCACGAAAATCCAAATCACGACACTGTACAGTAGTATGACAATGGTTATACAGGGTATTACTTAATAAATAAATAAACAATATTTATTAAGCAAAATTATAAATACATAAGTTTCTCAAGAGGAATGAATTCGATTAAGCCGTTATTCAATTCATCCTCATTGTAACAGCAAAAAAAATGATCACAAAATAATTATTTTAAATTTTAAATTAAATCATTATCTTGAAATAAGAACTTGTCTAATAGTTTTAACAAAATTATTAAAATTCAGATTTAAATAATTAAGTTGTGAATTCAATAATAATAACTAAAGCATCTTGGAATTTTGAAGTTACATTGTGTTGATCTTCTTAGTAGGATATTATGTAAATAGTGTGGAATTTTAGACATTTAAATTTTATACAAAAAAATTAAATATAAATATTTTACCCTTTCCTAAATTTTATATTCATTTAGCCTGCGAATGTATGGATAAACATGATCTCTATATGGAATATAACAAGTAAATCTCATACAGGCATTTTGAATCTTCTGAAGTTTCTCTTGGTTATTTACTAAGAAAATAGTAATAAACTACAGTAATCAATGTGAGGGTATAAATATAAGAGCTTTGAAGGGCGTGCCGTGACATATGGCCGCCCGTGTGCAAAACCTAAATTTAGCCGCCCCTATTTCAAAATACTTTCGTCAAAAATTTAATTCACGACATGACATAAAGTTAGTTAATATTGTTTTCATTTAAATATTTTTGAGTAATAGCAAAAATATTTAGGTGAAAGTTTGCATCTCACTAATAAAAACTACAATTTTAACAGTAATTTTTTAATTAACTGAATAAAACTAAAACATAAAATATTCTATTTATAATATGTATAACAAAAATAAAAATGTTATAACATTACAAAGTGACATCTAATTGATCTAATACAATCGGATCAGTTAGTTTAACATTAATGAATATACTACAAAATTATATTTATTTTTTGTTGCATTGTTGCTGCAAATTTACTAGCTGAATAATAAGTTTACATGACATGAATGACATGTTTTTACTAGTTTAAAAATGGATTGTCATTGTCCCTACTGTGAGAAATCCTAGAAAAATCGTTATTCTTGCTTTCTTTGCGGAAAAATCCCTAATCAATTCTTCCAAATTCAGGGAATCCATAATATCATTTTCTATGGCAATTATAGATAAATCATTAAGTCTATCTTGTAACATGGTAGATCTCAAATAATTTTTAATAATTTTTAGCTTAGAAAACGATCTTTCTCCCGAGGCTACTGATACGGGCAAAGTGAGTGAGTAAAAAGGGCTATTGAAATATTTGGAAAAGTTGACAATAATTAATTTTGAAATATAACCTCCAAAATGAACTTAGAATCTTATTGAGAACCTTCTGAAGTTGAAGCTGATTCAAAGTATATCTTGAGTGTTTTAATTTCTTCATATAAATCAGATGCATCAATATCAAATTACATCTCCCTATCGTAACTCTTCTAAGGCTACTCGATGGTGCTAAAGAAAAATTAATACAGGGTGGTCAAAAATTTACATTCGGATTTTTTGACCACATTGTATTAATTTTTCTTTAGCACCATCGAGTAGCCCTTGAAAAATTAGGATCGGAAGATGTAAGTCGTTTTTGCCAAATATTCAGCAGTTTTCACAAAACATTGACCTAAAGTTGAAAAATAGGTGATTTTAACATCCTATCTCTGTAAATATTTAATTTAGACCGCAAGTATGTGGTATCTGCGAAATCAGCTCATCAGCTCTTCAATGAAAATTCAAAATTACGAAAATATATAGGGGTGTTCCATTTAAAAAATAGTAACTTTGATATAGCACACTTTTCTGGAACACCCTGTATATTTCAAAATAATTTTAAAACGTAGTGTTAAATGACATGTATACCATATTAAGATAGATATGTATACTGTATATACAAAAAATTACAATTTACAAAGTTTATTGTCAATTTTTTTAATTTTTGATGAAGGAGCAGATTAAATAATGATTATATTAAAAAATACTATTCTACTATTGAAATTGTTTATGCCAATATTTTTATAAAATTAAAAGTAAAAGTTAAAAGTATTTGTTTCTAACATGCGAATATATTAAACACACATACATAAATATCTGTTAATCTATTATTCCTGTATTCCTCAGTCAAAATAAAAATTTATATAGGTTAAAATACGAATTAATATACCTACCTACACTAAATTGATTATTAATTTGTTTAAAATTAAATTAAATTAAATTTCAATTTTCAATAATATTTATTATGCCAAAAATCAAAAATAAAAAATCTTAAGAATGGTTAGTTATTATATTAAATTTCACTGAATAATAACAAAAATGAAAATTGAATATAAATAAAATTGCTAATAATACTAATTAATTACAATTACTTACCATCTTTCATAGGCACAGTTTTCACTTTTCACGATCGCATTACATAAGATACAATACAAATACAAAAACAGTTATCAATTATCAATCAAATCAAAATCAGAATTAGAAATCAAATCAGTTAGGTAAATAAATATTATTTATGTTATTGAGATGAAGAAAACAATAATAATGCAGATGCATTTTGATGAACCTTTTCTTTTATATTATTTTTAATGTAGGTAGGGGTAGCCGACAAAGTAAAGATTACCATTTTGAAATGATAAAAAATAATAATTTTCCCATATTTTGTCCACCGCACCATTTGATGCGGCCGCCTAACGAGCGCTATCAAAGCGTCGGCACTCGGCAGTCGCCTGTTTTTGACTTTGATCATTACTACCGACTACCGCCGGCCGGTCGTTTGTGGTTTGTGGATAAGTGAAGTAGATAATTAAATCGTCATATCTTGCCGCGGCCGGCTGCCGCTCCTTGTTTGTTAAGGTCCACGTGCCACATTTTAAAGCAGTAGCGTTTTTATTACAATAAAGCTACCGCCTTACTTTTTTGCCAGTCTAGTCGGTGCGTGCTTTCGGCAAGAAGGGACCATTGCTGTGGTGGCCTACGGCCGCCCTAAATTTGGCCGCCTGTGTGCATGGACGCCACGCCCCTGAGAGCTTTAATAAGTTTTAATTTAATGTTTTCACTCAAGAGAAACTTCAAATGATAAATTGATTTTAATTTTAAGTATGAAACGCTTACTAAATGATTAACATTTTCATTAAAATTCAAGTTGCCCTTCATAAAAAGTTCCAAATTTTTAGCACAAGTTGACCACGTAATGATTTTCTCATCTAAAGACAGTTCAAAACTAGTGATAGACCTGCACTTAAACTCTAGACCTATACAAATGGCACTTGACTTTCTTGGATTATATTTAAGACCATGATTAACACACCATTCATGTACAGCCAACAAATCCTCGTGAATGTGATCAATATCATTTTCTATATTAATATTTTGGATTCCCATTTAAAGTTGTAAATCATCTGCATACAAATGATAGTTCATGTGAATGAGGCATCTTGGCAAATCAAAAGTAAAAATTAAGAAGATCAGAGGTCCAAGTACACTTCTTTGAGGTACCCCTTTAACTATTCTCCTACAGTCTGAATTTGTACCTGCAAACTTAACTCGCTGTGTCCTATCATTCAAGTAGTTGCCGAACCACAATAAACTATTCATATAAAGACCTTAGTGTTTTAACTTTTCTAATATGAACTAATGATTTACTAAATCGAATGCCTTACTTTGTTCTAATAATATTAAAACCGTGCAATATCATTTACTACCTTTAAAAGTGCAGTATTGGTACTATATTTTTTCTATAGGCTGATTGTAATGCGGGTAGGATCAGTTGTTCTTCTAAAAATTTAGTAACTTGAGAAGCAATGATTTTTTCAAAAATTCTAATAAATGGCGACAGTAGTGGGCATCAAATCATTATATTCACAACGATTTGCAACTTTAAGAAGTGGAATTATATCGGCACTTTTCCATATGTTTGGGATAACTCCTTGACTCAATAAATCGTTAAATGATTGAGTAACTACACAGTATGGCATAATCAGAGTTAACATACTTAGTTATATTTATGTTATCAGGTCTATATGCATTGGATAAAATACTTTTTAATCTTTTATAAATATCCATTTCTGTGATTGAATCAAAGAAAAAAATACTATCAGATAAGTTTATATTATTGTAGATTCTAATAGAGATTAATCGATGCTTGAATCTCCCGCAACGTCTAAAAAGTAATCATTCACCGCATCTGAAGATTGCTGAAGATAACTCCATGTTTTTTTGGAATTAGATTTATCTGAAATTAATGTATATTGCATATATGCTCTCTTTTCGCGTTTCTAGATAATTTCTAAGATCGCAATAAAAACGCCTATTACCTTCAGTCTTATTATTTATATATTTTTTATGGGCTTTATTTTTTAGTTTAATCATTTGCTTGATATTGTAAGTAATGTAATGTTTATAATTTTTTCTTGGTTTTATTTTGTAAATGGGGGCGTATACGTCGAAGAGTGATATAATAAATTCATTTAATAATTCAACTTTAATATTTAGATCATAGTGTTGATTAATATAATTCCAATCAATATTTAGGACATCGTTAGAAAAAGCGTCTACATCAAATAATTTGAAATTTCTACACGTAATATATTCCTGAGAGTAGCTCGTATTTTGAAAAGTATTATTACAGAAAGTCAACATGTGAGATCAGAGTCATTTAGCAAATCATAATTTTTAGACGAATGTAGATACAGATTATTACCCAAAAAAATTAGATCTAGTAAAGATTCACAGTCAGGAGTAATTCTTGTGGGCTCAGTGATAACTTGTATTATGTCAAAATTAGAAAGTATCTAGACAATATCCGCATACTTGCAACATAATCATTTTGTAACAGATTCATATTTAAATTACCCATCATAATTATTGAATCTGATATCATATATACCTGTTCAATTGTATCCGTTAATGCACTAAAAAACTCGACTTTTGCATTAGGCTAGACCAATAGCCACTTTAAAATTAGAAATATTCACCATAAACCACAATTGCTCAATATTATTATTGATGACATCACACTGGATCTTTTTGAATTTATAGATGGACTTTATATAAATAGCTACTCCTTCCCCGAACGTTGGATGATCTTGTCTAATGAAATTATATTTATCGATACTTAAATATTTATCTGGATAATTCGTATCCACAAATGTTTCAGAAACTCCTGCAAAATCAATGTCATTTTCAAAAATATATTCCTTTAAGCCTGCAAAATTTTTCCTTATTGATCGGATATTAACATAACATAATTTTACATTTAATTTTTAGATTTTCCTATTTAGTTTTTTGATTTTGCTATTGTCGGAGTACCATTGACATAATAAATAAATCATTTTCTCCCTTCTGCTTCCTTTGTTCCAGTTCATCATGTATCTTTTTTGAGTACTTCTGTTGAGTTTTTGTATTATCTGTAGCAATGACAACATTGATATTGAAATTTTTTAAATTCTTTTTATTCGTTAAAACAGCATAGACTTCTTCTTTAGAGTGAAGAGTTACTTTAAGAGGTGCAGTACGATTTCGCGTAGATTTTCCAAGTCTCATAACATTTATGTCATTGACATTAATAATGGGCACAACCTTTTGAAGAATATTTTTATCTTCGACACGATCAGCATTTTCTTTAAATTTGTAAATAATTATGTTCGTTTCTCTTTTTTCGTTCATTTATTTCATTAATTACTCCTTCAAATAATAAGACTTTTTTAGTCTCTTTATTCTTTTCAATACGTATTTGCTTTATCTCATCGTGAAGAGTTGTCACTAGCTATTGAAGATGATAAATCTTTTTGATTACACCCGGTAGTCTTCAAAAAACAACCAGGCATTTCATTAATCACATCAAGTTGAGTTTTATTGATATTCGAACAGTCAAAATGAAAAAACTTCTTGCAAAACTGCAAGATAAACCAGGTTTTCCATTACTTATCAAAATGGACTATGAAACACAATTATTATTAGTCAAAATTAATTACAGAAAAAATTTAAAATTTAATAAGTAAACGGTAGCGATTTACTTCGATAAATAAATAAATAAATAATAATAATGTTTATTTATCAAAAGATAATAAGTACAGAAAGTAACGTAGGTACATTATGAGGTTAGAAAGTAGATTAACAATTTAAAAACCAAATATGAATAAAAAAATTAAACAAAAAAAATTCGTTAGGAAAAATCAGTGGGTTTTTGAATATTAAATTAAATATTATTGTTTCGAAACAAACAAAACATAACATAAAAAACGAATTGTGTTTATATAAACTTTACATGATTCTTCATCTTTTTTTTGAACACATTTATACTTGAACTTGCTTTGACGTCATCAGGCAGAATATTAAACTGAACTATACCCTTATGAAACAAACTTTTCATGGAGCTGGTTTTGTTACTTGAATTCACATAAAAATTTATAGAATTTGCCGTTCTAGTGTTACGCCCGTGAATATTTGCAACTGGTACAAGCTGACAGTTTAAGTATTCAGGTAACATGTTGTTAACAATTTTATATATAAATATCATCGTCTGAATATAAAGTAGATGTTCAATTTTCATTCAATTTAAAGCTTCCAACATTAACTGTGAACTAGTAAAACGATTACATCCCAATATTGCCCGCATTGCCTTATTCTGAAGGATTTGTAACCTATCAAAATTAGAACACCCTGTATAAATAATAGTACTACAGTAATAGAAATGAGGTAATATCAGTGTATTATAGATGGTTTGTCTAGTCGATATAGATAAAAACAGTGATGCCCTTCTCATAAAACCAATTTTTTTACCAATTTTTTTAGACATATAACCAATGTGCTTATTAAATTTCAATTCTCTGTCTAGTATTAACCCTAAGTATTTTATTTCTTCAACATTCTCAATGACTTCGTCATTTATGACTACATTTAAATTTAAACCTAAATACTTATTATACAGAAAATTATTCCCAATAAACATAGACTTCGACTTTATTTCATTTACTTTTAATTTCTGTTAATAATTTTAATTCTGAGTTTAAAGTTTGAATTACTGTTCCAAAATCTTTCCCATACCAATAAATTAATATATCGTCAGCGAATAGATGAATTTTACATTTGTTTAGTACAGATCCCAAATCATTTATATATATTATAAAGAGTAAAGGACCCAAGACACTACCCTGGGGAACGCCTACATCGTTTAATAATAAATCTGATGTATTATCATTAATCTTTGTTTTTTGAAATCTATTTGATAGATAATTTTCTAACCTATCATATACAGAACCATTGAACCCATACCTTTTTAATTTTAATAAAAGAATTCTGCGATCTATAGTTTCAAAAGCTCTTCGAAGGTCTATAAAAACTGCGCAAATGCCAATTCCTGGTTTATCTAATATTTTTTTCATGTCAGACACAACTAACTGTAGAGCCGTTTCACAAGAATGTGATTTTCTGAAACCTGATTGATAACTGCATAATGTATCATTATCATTTAAAAACTTCACAATTTGTTTATACACAACAAGTTCAAGTACATTTTCACAAAACGGCAACATATTTATAGGTCTCAGTCGATCAACTCTATTTGTATTTATCACCTTAGGAATAGGAACTATGGTAGATGTTTTAAAACATTGAGAAACAGTTCCTTTTTCCAAACTTAAATTAATCAAATTTAATAAAGGATAACCCAGAACGTGATAAAGATGCCTAATTAAGTCAATACCAATTTCATCTGTACTATTTTTGTTTTTATTTTGGGAATTAATTATTTCATAAAGTTGTTGAATATTAATCATCTGGAAATTTGTCATTATTACAGCATTTATTGGAATTGAATCAAGCAGGACGTCATCACATATTCCAGTTATTCCTATATTTACCACTAGGTCATTTATACTTGTTACATAATACTGATGAACGACTAGACTAGACTTAATGATGGGCCGTAATTCCAAGGATGCTTTTTGAACCAAATTCAAGTATAAAAGGTCAGCAATCCATTAATTTTGTTTTTTGCCATTTTTGATAATGTTGCCGACCCTGTATCGAGTTGCAAAATTGCCAAATTTCGATTCATTCGGTACTTTATCTTAGTACGAAGTTTAAAAAATGTTAAATTAAATCTTTTTACTTTCCTATCTGTATACAGATATAAGGAAAGTATAGGAATCATGATTTTTACTTGCCTAAAATACGTACAGTTTACTCAGTGAACTCATAGATCAAAGAATAGGTATAAATAAAGCTCAAAAAATACATTGAGCTAATATTATAAAATGTTACACTCATACAAGTATATTGAGTTGCTCACTTTGTTTTGTTAATTTTGTTTCAATTATAAAAAAATATACAAATGATAGAATCTTGTACTTTTACCCGTTAACCATCAAAAAATAAGTAACAAGTATTACAAATAAATATTATAAATTTTTCAACTTATGTTTGAAAATTGTTAAATATTTACCATAGAATAAGGGAATCCTTGGGAAGAATTTCTTCCAGTTAGAATATTTTCTAACGATTTCACTAACATCACATAAATAAAATCCTTCTTTTTGTTGACCATTTTTTACAATGTTATTAACTGTCGAAAATACGTCGGTATCGTCTTCTAAAACTTGGATTCTATTGTCCACATCCATGATATAGATTAATAAAAAAAAATGTAACGGAAGACAAAAAGTAAATTATGAAGATGATAGAGTAACTGTAAGAAAGAAAATAATGTTTGCGTAACATCGACCGAGTCTATTTAAAGTCAATTAGAAATTCACAGTGACGTAGTCCAGAGTTTTTAGAAAGAGAGAGACAAGATTTCAAAACCTTGAATTACCAAATTATTACTTTTAATTGATTCTCTTTTGTTTGATAAAAAAATGAAAGCGTTTATAATCAGTCATTAGTTAATGTGGTTGATTAAATACCACATTAAAATAAATCACAAATTTGGAAATGCTAATAGTTTCACTTTAAAGTTTTTGTAATCATTATTTCTATGTATTTTCTGTAATATTTAAATAAATATTATAATTGCTATGTTACACCAATCGAATTGACAGCTTTTTTTATTAATAGGTGACAATACCATAGTGTTATATTATCGCTGCGCAACATGGATTATCAGAATTGCAAAAGAATCTTATTTTGATACAAACCATTATCTGTCAGTTATAATCGTTGTCATATATGGTTGTCATCATACTCATTATACACTCTATCTAAATATAATTTCGTAGTACGCTTCAATATCGATCATTTTTTGAAATTCTAACTCGTCAAAAATCCAATCTTGGGGTCTCACATTCGGAACATTTCAAAAAATTGTTGATAATAAATTGTCGACAATATTAATCACACATCACCTTCATAGAATTATTAAAATTCGCTTGAAATAAATACTGTGTAACAGCTACTTTGTTTCCCAGACAGCACAAGTCAATCCATTGGAAGTCCATTGATGAACATATCGTCTATCCAAAGGACGTCCATCATTTTACCGAAGGACATCCAATAGACGTCCATTGGACTATACAAATGTACCACTCCTTGACGTCCATTTGGACTCCATGAAAGGTCCATATATGAACTCTTTGTATTGCTTTTGGACAATTTATGGACATCAGATGGATATCATCACCTATATTATTAAGAAATATAGTAATTACAACAATGGACATATTTTTATTGCCATAAATAATATCAAGCATGTATTGGTTTTATACGCACTCCTTTCTGTTGACCTGAGCCATTTTATTAAGGCTATTTCGCTTACTTTTTAAGCAGTACCATTATCTCTCTCAGCAACAGCTAAAAAAGTTAAAAATATAAAACTTTTAAATAAAATGTTATTAACCGACTTCAAAAAAGGAGGAGTTTATCAATTCGTCGCGATTTTTTTTTATGTATGTTCAGCAATAATTCTTTAACAAGGTGTCCGATTTTAATGATTCTTTTTTTTGTTAGAAATGGGGTACTTTAGAGGTGGTCCCATATAAATTTGGTCAAAATATAATAATTGGGTATATGAGAAAATCCTCAAACTCTTAATTTTTTTGTATGTTTTTACCACCTTGTTCGATTTATGATTCTTTTTTTGTTAGTAAGATGTGATGACATCTGCACGTTTTTGAAGTCGGTTTTTTTTTAATTTTTAATTTCTAATACTTGTTAACTAATATGAAAATATGCATTGACTAATGTACTTTACCCCCATACTTACATATAAACAAAAAACTGCTCATTGTTTCTTTAAATGACCATTCTACTTTAATACCATCATATTATGAGAATTCTTTCCTGAGGGTATTAGAAATTGTGGCTACGAAACATCTTTTTATAAGTTCGTACGTGTCCTTGTCCTGGTTTTGGTAACTGCTGAATCTAAAATTGCAATAAAAATATGTATTTGTGAACATTACAAGAAAAATAACTCATGAAACCACTTTTAATGCATTATTTCTTAAACGTTACAAAACGATTCTATTTTATTTAATAAAAGTAAAACTTACAGCTTCATTAAAAATATTTGTATTTTCTAAATAGCCTTTTACTTCTGCTAACGTCTCATGCAGTATAAATGTTTTTTCTGCTTTGAAAGGTTTCTCACCTCTTAGTTGCTTTAATAATTGTGTTGACATCCTCTCGAATTTGCAGCTTATTAGTTAGCTTTTAGTAAAGCCATTTTTTTTAAATAGGTACATCATTTGACAACAGGTCTAAAAGAAAGGGATTCTTTGAATGTAAATCGAAAATATAAAGTTTAAAACATAAGTGATAGGTTATATTAGTTTAAAACAAACGATTTGCTTCTTAATTTTTGGATTTTTAAATAATTTAATGTTAATTATACTTATTTTCTTACCAGATAAACTGTGGGCTACATGTGGACTGTGAGCCATAGAAAATTGATATTATTCTATATGCTGTAGTCGGTCTTGTGGATTTTAGTTTTTGTTCTTAACCGCTTTCTTCTTCTTCGAGTCTGACTTAAATGACATTTTACTTTTTTATCTTGTCAACAGTAGCGAAGAGGAGAGGAAAATTAATTGACTTATTTTAATTAAAACCTAGTGGTAAATAATTAAATTATACTAGAAGAATTATAATAATTTAATATTAGTTCGTCATTTTTATATTGGACGTTTTTTGGACATCCACTGGACTTCTGAATAGGTATATTCATTGGATAACGGAAAATGGATGTTCAATGGACATCCATATGAAGTTCATGGACATCCAGGACATTACCGAGACAACACACCAAATCCCAGAGATATCCACAGAATATCTTTTGTGGATATCCAATATATCCACAGGATATTATAGATATCCAATGATCTAATATGGATATCCAAATGTCCGTCTATATCCAGAATATAGAAGATATTCTATGAATATTCAGCAAAATATCTAATGGATATCTTTAGTAGAGGTTCGTAAGTAACCAATGGATATATCCTATAGATGTTTAACATATCCAGTGTACATCCATTATTTGATATATTTAAGATATCGAAAATTATATGCCTATAGGGTGTCATATTTAATGCTGCATTAATTTTTTTTTGAAAGATAAGTGGAACAATGTACTGCATAATCTAAAAACATTCCATATGAAGAAAATCAGCATTTCAGTAGCATAACATCGGAACGTCCTGTATTTTTAATTTGGTATATACACCCATACAAGGTTTACTATTCTTGTGTTAACTATGTTTGACGCTACACAGCATATGTAGAGTAGAGTAGAATAGAAAGAATATCAACATTTCTAACATATCTAACACATCTAACACATCTAACATATCTTACAAATAAATCTTATTCTTAATTGTTGTTATATTAATAGATCAGAGCATATTGACGCATTCGTTTGCAAAATTGTTTTAATTCGTAATTTTTTTTTTAAATGTCCGGAAGGCTTTCCTGATTATAAAAGTGTAAGATGACACTCGATATTTGTTGATGTTATTGTTATTGTTGTGTAACAACGAAAAATTAATTAAGCCAGAAAAAATGCATTTTTTGCAATGAATTAATTTTTTTATATTCTTTAGGATATTTAGAATAAAAAAGTCCTTGCGCCCATCATCGTATCTTCAACCCTTTAATTATTATGAATTTTTTAAAATCCAAAATTGACGAAAATTCTAATTTTCTTGAATTAAATAATATACCTTAAAATTTAAAATGCTATAATTTTAAATTTTTTACCGAATATTCAAACTATAATAAACAAAACTACCTAAATAAATTTTCAAAATTTTGTTTGTTGTTGTTCTTTTTACGTTATAACAATATGCTTCCTACGCGCGTGTACTTTTAGAGAGAAGTACTTCTATCTCACTTCCAACTCAATGTATAAGATGGGTAAGAGAAAGCCCGATAACGCGCTAAATCAATATGTTGCTGTTTTTCAGCGGTAATAAGTTTAAAAAAATTATTGTTAACATTTTTCATAACACTTTGTTATATTTGCCGATTAATTGTTTTGTATCATGTGATTTTTTTTTTACTTTTTTAGATACTTTCGATAACTTTTTTATTCATTGAAGTTAATAGACTGATTTAAGGTGAGTACAGCACCTTCTTATAATTTTCGGACAAGCATATCTCAAAAAGTAATTTTTTTTAAAGCTAAAATTTTGGCAAAATAAATTAGGCAATAATATCTAGAATATGCTTATATTTTGAAGTTTTAATTATTTTCAGTTTCCAAGAAAAAATCAAAGGGCTTTAAATTTTGAAATATCAAATTGAAAATAAATGCAGTATTCTTAATATAATCCCTAAATCTCTTGTTAATGATTTTTTAAAATTCGCCAAAATTAGTGGCTAAAACGCCTCGTTAAGTGCTGCTTTCTGGTGTAACGCGACTGTAACGATCGTATCGTACACTCTGAGTCATCATTCGTTTCTTGCAATGATTTACACCAGTTTACACCAGTTTAAACCAGAAAAAAGCACTAAATGAGGCGTTTTAGCCACTAATTTCGGCGAATTTTAAAAAATAATTAACAAGAGATTAAGAGCTTAAATTTGGGGATTATATTAAGAATAGTGCTGTTGAGGAATGCATTTATTTTCATTATGATATTTTAAAATTTAAAGCCCTTCGATTTTTTTTCTTGGAAACTGAAAATAATTAAAACTTTAAAAGTTTAGACCATATGTTGAAGGTGTTAGATTTCGTTGTGTAACTGACCATGCAGCTCTTTTATTCATTAATAATTTAAAAGAACCACAAGGTAGATTAGCTCGGTGGGCCATTAAGTTAGGTCAATTTGATTTTGAGTTAGTACATAAAAAAGGTAAATCCAATGTTTTACCAGATGCCCTCAGCCGAATCCCTTATGATCAAGTAAGTCAAGATAATTTTGAAGAAATTTTTCTTATTGATATAAAACCCAAAGAGTCTGATAATTGGTACTATTCACTTAAACAAAAAATATTAGAGAACCCCCAATCTTATTCTCAGTGGAAAATAGTTGATAATATAATTTATAAGTACATATACACCTACCACATTACCCGTATCTACAAATTGTCAAGAATGGAAGTTATTAATACCTAAGTCTCAAATTAAAGAAATAATTTCTAGTTGTCATGATCCGTCTACTTCCGGTCATTTTGGTTTTTATAA